TAACAAAACATACTTAATGCAAACACACTTCTCTTTGCATGTGTTTAAGAGAAACACTTCCTCTCTGATGAGAATGCTTTTCTTACTTCTAGCCATTCAGTTACACTGCAGGCATTAAATTTTGGGAGACCTCCTTAAATCTCTTGTGTCTCCCACCATCCCAGTGACCAAAGACTTGACTCATCTTTCTTATGTCATGAAATAAGAACAGCAGAACTCCTCCTGCAGACCTAGTGTAGTGGTCCATCCAATGATCCCTGTGCTCTTTCTCTGGCAGTAACTCCTACTGATGGCCAGACTGATTTTCCTTTTTTGATTCTGTGGTCCATTTTCATTGTATATGTCCAGTATCTACAACTGTCAGAGTGTTAAAGATAAATCCATGCCTATTCTGTTTAGTATCCATTTATGTACCGATGATCTAATGAAAGTATCCAGAGTAACATTCTTGTATTCTGCAAATAATATAGTAAATAATGAGCTAGAGTTTATTTTATTTTATAACCTTGGGTTGTAAATATCTGGTATTGCACTGCTGTTGGGTTTGTTAGCAGTTGAACAGAGTGGTCCAGCACACCGTACTTGATCTGTGTTTTTTCAGCTTATAGATACGTGTGTGCAGATCGTTTTGTTTTCTTCAGCTGAAGTAGCTACCACAGCTGCCTCCCAAAGGCAATGTGGCAGCATGTCTTTAAACAAGTGACATTTCCCTGGCTTTTGTAATATGAAATACATTCCTTGTAGGAAGGAGGTGTTCAATTTTCTTGACTTTGCCAGAAGCAGAACAGAATTGTTGCGGTTTTCAAGATGATTAGTGTATTAAAATACAAAAAGTATAGAAATGAACTGTGTATGCTGTCATGCCATTCGAGTACTAAACATACATATCCTATCACGTTTGTTTGTTCCATGTTTTTTCCTGCAGCCTTCATATAGTAAAGAAGGTAACAATGATAGACCAAGGAAAGTAATAGCAACGGTTGTAAAATACACCTGCTGTGGACGCTTCTCCTTTAGAAAGGAGGTGCTTGCATATTGCTTGCTATGGTTATATAGGAAAATATACTTACAGATATTAAATAGATACGCTTATTGAAGAAGGAACCATTAAGAAATAGTTCTTGTTCCTAAGCACCAAAAGCATACGTGATAAAGTCAGAATCTTAGAATAGGTTGGGTCTGAAGTAACCTTTGGAAATTGTGTGATCTGAAAGACTGCACCAGGAAGAGTTTGTTTTTTCTAAGGCTTGGTTTCTTATAGACATTTGTAATTCCAAACCATTCAAGTTTGTATCTTGTTATTTGGGGTGTCTCAGTTGCATTGTTTGAGGTATTTTTACACTGCCATTGCAGCAAATGCTTTTATGCTTGCTTTGAAATCTGTTATTCTTGTTCTAAATGGAAGACTTCTTTCAAATATTTAAGCCCTAATTTTCTTTGGTGCCCGAGAAATTATTCCCAAAAATAGGCATGAGAATTTGAGTTATGCAGTTTCTAAGCAGGCTTAAAGACAAAAAGGACAATTTGTATTAACATACCGAGTTGGTTCAGCTGGTTCTAGAACTACAGGTGATGTTGCTGTAGTGTTGTTAGCTTACCTTATGGGATATCTCATCTTGTTTCTTTAACTTTGGAGCAGTGTGGCACTAGCTCATCTGCTATTTATGGAAGATGATCTGCAATCCTTATCTGCCTTCATGTTTTTACCAGCACACTGTAATATGGCAGTAAGCTTGAAGCTGCCTTGGTGCCTTGATTCCACTAGCTGTATATAGCGTTACAAGCCTCAGGTTAGCGGAAAGGAGGGACAGAGGAATATATCAAAGAGGAAAAAAGGGCAAAAGTAATTTAATTGCTGAATATAGATGCTGTTCTGAGGGCTTTCTTTAGAGAGGGGAGGAAAGTTCGGTGTGAAATGGACATGTTGCTGAGTTTAATCATCGTATTGCTACTGTAGCAGGTGATATTCAGTACCTGGTTTGTACTGTGGCTGAAAGCTTTAAATCTGTGAACACCTCTATTTTCTTAGCCTAGTAAACATTTTAGACATCTTGAATTATTGCCTTTGTACTAGCTCTTTGTAGTTTGACTTAGATTTAGTGTCGGGATTTATTCCTCCTACGCTGCAGATAGCTAAATGCATTCCTTGTATTTATTACAGTAGGACATACCAGCCACTGTGGTGTTCTCTCCAGTTCCCCCCACCTTTTGTTGTTTATCTGAAAGCAACTTTTGAGTCTGATCCTCACATCTAAGATTTTATATACCTATTCTTCCTTGTCTTTCTATATTGTTTCCATTCCCTTTGCAGTTACACTTCTGAGTATTTCTATATACTTACTATGAAATCAGATTAAGGAGAGGGAAGGGCAACAAGGAGACAAATATAATCTGTTTCTGACTGAGAACTGAGGGGAAAAACTGGTTCTTTTAAAGCATAAAGGAAATCTACCTCAAACTACTTTATTTTTTTTTTTGCATATTTTTATAAAGTAGATGCAAACGTGTTAGAGTATGCACAGGTACTCTATTACAAGTAATTCACTCATATTTGAATGAGCTGGTAGTGGCTGCTGCTGCAGATCATGATGAGTGTGCGGCTTACTTGGCTGTCCTTTTTGTCCAGTCACTGCTGAGTGCTTAACTTTCTGACACTTGTTTTAATCTGTCTGGGCTAAACAATGTGGAATTGACAGTATGTCAGACATGGCCATTAAGCTCTCTGGGGAGCAGTAACTGATGCATTTATTCTGTGAAGCACAAATGAAAATGAGATATATTTCTACTTATGAGTAGTTTAATTCATACTAATGTTTATGTAACTTCCCATTAATATGTTAAGAACATTCATTTCTCTTTTCTATTTTTCTTCTAATTTAAGGATACTGCAGGTGCTACAATATTTACCCATTGAAGGAAATATTATTTTTTTGACTGGGAAGTTGACATAGCATACTGCTCTGGCATAGGCTTTTACAGTAAGAATGAAACTCCATATAAATTAAGTGAAACCCCATTACATGTTGAATTAATTGAGATAATGCTGTTTCACTTTTGCTGTTCTTACTTTGAACAAATTTTGTTTTAACCTTGGATGATGGAAGGAGCTGAGGACTTCATAGTACTTGTAGCATAACTCACATCTGCCTTTGTATCTGTACTTTTTTCCTCCCCAGAAGTGTAATCGTGTTGTGTTTATTTAACCAAGCAGTTGTTCAGAGCTGGGCTTTCAGCATAATACCACTAGCTGAATTTTGACTTGTGTTAGCAGTTGTGTCGTTTTGTCTAACTCTGGAATAGAGTCACAAAACATGTAAGCATGGCATTCTCAGTGGGAATGCTGTGTTCACGCTCCCCAGGATCTCTCCTAATGCAGAGGATTGGACAGGGAGAGGATTGGCTTGGCAGATAAATGTGAGAGGTCAGATCTGTGAGATGTGAAACTGAGTCAGAGATGTTTTGGGAAAACAGGTACAGCGCCAGTCAAAATTCCTGCTAATGATTAGCCAACCTATTCTATTTTTTTAATCAAATACTGTTCATATGCTGTATATTTAAATAGAACACGGAAAGACCTGTTGTCATAACCTGTATATGGTATAGCTCGTAATGAATTGCAAATTACAGTACAGGTTACAGCGCAGGCATACTACTGCTATGTGGAATACTTATTTGAAACTAAAAAACTCTGTAAAAAGATGTAAAAGCTCCAGTTTTTCCGTATTTTCCTCTCTCCTTGTCCCCCACCTATTCAAAGCCCCCCAAATGTATTATTTAAGTATTTTTATGGTTTAGATCCATGTTAATGAACAGTGTTGAACAGACCTCCTTCTACATGCACAGTTATCACAGAATTGTAGGGACTGGACGGGACCTCCAGAGGTTGAGTCCAACCCCCCCTGCCAGAGCAGGTTCCTGCACCAAGTAGGTGTCCAGGCAGGTCTTGAACATCTGCAGAGAAGGAGACTCCACCACCTCCCTGGGCAGCCTGTTCCAGTGCTCCATCACCTCACTGTAAAGAAGTTCTTGCGCACATTTGTGCAGAACTTCCTGTGCTGCAGAATGTACATTCGGAACTTATAAATGCTCTCTATCTTCGGACTGTTTTCATGACTTCTGACTCTTGAAGAAATGCTTAAGCAGCAATAAAATTCATTGCAATGCAGCACATTATCATGATAAGCCTTTTTATGTGGGTGCTCTAAAGGAAATTGCCATTTCGCGTATTGAGGAGAATAAAATTAAACAGTGCAGCTTTCACAGTACAGGATAGGGAAGAAGGAACCTGTAAGCAAAATCTTTCATTTTATTTCACGTGGGGTTTTGGTGGTGGTTTGTGTTTGGGTGTTTATTTTTTTGGGGGGTAGTGTTGTTGTTTTGTTTGGAGGTTTTTTGTTTGTGCCATCTGAAGCTCCTTGTACAGCTGTCTACCTGCTTATTCAGTAAACCCTGAGGGTATGGCGTTATCTTTTAAATGCTTTAAATTCATCTTTTTCTACTCAGAGTAATCATTGTCTCCCATCTCTGATAGTATTATTTTTAACCGGAGAGAAAAGAAGGACAGTAGAACAGAAAACAAGTGCTTAAACCAAAGGGATGGTTTTCTTAAAATCATTTGTATGCTACACTTCATCCTTTTTTTTTTCTTTTGACATCTTTAATACACCTCTTTGTTTCCCTTCTCTTGAATGAGTTCTACTTTAAGCAGACGTGATCAGATAAATCCTCTAAAGCACTCTTTCACACTGTTGCAATATTTAAGAGAATTTAAGTGTATGTGAAGCCTGAAACATCTTTTTTTTCTTCTGCTGTCAAGAGTGTAGATATTGCTTAACTTAATGGATCCAAAATAAAAAGATGATGGGTTTTTATTTTAATTCTGACTTACTAAAAATGCAGTGATGCATACTACTTTGTTTGAAACCTGTTTCTATCTTTATTCTTAAGAAATGTTCTTCAGTTAGTGTGAGATATTTTATTTCTCTTGTTTTTATTCTCAGACTTATTCCTTACTACCTCAAATCCTGACATTCAGTTTGAGACTTGGATAAATAAGGTAAGAGAGAAGACTGAAATAACCATGATACTCAAATTGCAGAAGCATCAAACAAAACCATAAAAGGCTGTCTGATGTTCCTGGTTTGAGGAACAGATCACTCAAGATCTTTTACTCAGCACAAGTTTCTCTGCGGGTTTTTCAATAGGACTACAAAGGAAAGCAGACTACTTTCAGACGCTCAGCAGGACCCCTGCTGTGTCATCAGCTGTTGTAGGAAGTTACTAGCACTTAGCACAATGCTTTCTGATGAAGTGGCCGATCAGATTTTTTTGTTCTTGTTGTCTCAAAGATTTAATCTCTATAAGCAAGCTTTCTTAGATCTGTGACCAGATCATGGGTGAGATTTTGTGGGACAGAGGTTCAGAATCTCACTTGTAACCATTAGAATACGTACACAGGTTGCAACTGGAAAAATTGCAAGTCCTACATTAACCAGATATCACCAATGTAATTCAAGGTTGGGCAGGAACAGATCCAGTAATTATTTATTTATTTTTATGTACTCCGTTGTTAACAACAACAAATAACATTAATTGATTTGAAACTGGGTGCATCCCTTATGCTAAGTATGTTCTCGAAAAGGACTATTGCTAGCAATATCAGCATCTATGCATCAAAAAAATATCTTTTGTTATTACAGAAAATGCTTACTGTGTTTCTTATTGTCTAAGGAGTGAATCTTTTGAGGCCAAATGTACCTGAAAACGTATCCATTGTATCATAGTGAATCAGTGTAAAATTGGGAATGTGGTCTCGTCACGTGTCAACACGGCCATCTTCAGCCCACTGCTGACATGGAACTATGAAAAGCTCATCTGCCAGAAATTATCCAAATACTGACTTTGGCATAAGTAATGAATGCTGTACTGAGAAACATTTTTAAAGCAGTGGATTGCTTTTATTTTTAGATCTTTTAATTCTTAAAATCTAATACTTGTATTTTATACAAGCAGTGTTACTATTGGATTTCCGTGGGATTCCTTGAAGGGTTAGAACTGAAAAAAATCTCCTTTTCCAAACAGTGTATTTTTTCTGTAGCTACTATGTTTCTTATCTATGTAAACTATTCTTTATTTGTATGTTTGTTTTTTGTTCAAAAATGAAGCTTTGTCACTTGATCTGCAATTCACTTTCTCCTTCATCTTGTTTGATAGGATGGGAACTTCTCTAAACCTGAAAAAAGTAAAGCAAAGCCTAGTGGTGCAGTGGTTGTTGGACAGTCTGTATTTGCAGATTTTGGTGAGTGTTATTTTTTAAAAACTACTCATATTCCAAGTGTTTCTTTTTCACAATATAGTTAGCTGTTCTACATCAAAGAACGAAGCTGTTTAAAGTATGTTTAATTCTAAAGTTATTTTCTGTTTTTTTTTTGTTTGGTTTTTTTTTTTTTAAGATTTTAAATGTGTGACTGTAGATCCTGAAAATTCTGGGAGTAATTTATGAATAAACACAACTAAATCTGACTTCAGCTATTTCGGTGCATTCTGTGTCATGCATACTTATTTTCTGAGGGCACACTTGTGAATGTGTGCTGTGTGTTTCATGCATGGTACAAATATCAAACCAGTTATTACCAGTTATCTTATTTTTGTGATTTTGTGGTTTAATTGTGTTTGTTTTACCTGAACCAGGCAAAACTGCCTACAGTCCATTATGGCCTTTCAATGTGTGTGTTCTGTTGCAGACAGCAAGAAATGTTTATTTTGTAATTCAAAAAATATTACTTTTGTGTGTGCTCTAAACTAAAATAATTGTGACCCAAGAGAAAATAGTTCAGGACTAATTCTGTTGATGTTACTGAATATCAATTTTTTTTTAAGAATGAATTAATTCCTTATATATCTCATTTCATTGTGAGACTGAGCCTATCTTTAAACATAGTCCAGTGTTAACTTTGTTGGATCATTTTGACTTAAATATTGAGAATAAAGAAGGACCATTTTTTAAATTCAAAGTCAGACTGCATTAGCCTAAGTTTCCAGTTCTTTCTCTCTGCTCCTACTTCCAAGTATTCATAAAAATTCTAGATTTCCAAAAAAAAAAAAACCCGTTTGCTGACGTTCATCTGGAAAACATTTCTGCTGGTTAGCATTTCTTAGTCCTTTCTACAGCAGCTGTGAATGAGTTTACATATCACTAGTAAGTAAAGGTAAAACTTTAGCAGTGCTTTAGGTTCTTCTGTGAAATTCTTACCATGTTTTGTGAAATCTTTTATTGTTTATCTACAAATACAAGCACTTAAGTATAGATGCTACATCTTTTGCAATTCAAAATACTTGTAAATACGTTGAAAAATACGTTTTTGTTCAAGCTCATGTTCTGATAAATGTCTTAATACATGTTTAGTATATAGTGGATATTTTTTTTTATGACACCGTGTAAGGCAATCTTTATGTAGGATATATTCATCTCTGCGTTGGGTAGCTAATAAGTCCAAATGTTTACATAGAAATTTACCATAATGAGATCTTAAAAATCCTGAGGCATCTTTGCAAAGAGGAGTATAACTGGTCAGAGATCAAAACTATGATTTTAAAGAATGGAGTGAAGTGGTGCACGCTGGCAGAACAATGCAGTGCGCTGTCTGGGTTCGGTGCAGCCAGGGCTATGGAAGATGGCCGGTGTGGTTGTGCAGCAGCAGGGAGCTGCCATGGGTTTGGAGCTCCATCACAATTTGTAGAATGCTCTGCTCAGCCAATGGTCATCGAACTTACAGCTGGAGCAACAACATGAAACAACAGGAGAACAAAATTTCTAGTAAAAATACAGTGAGGGAGAAGACGTGTAAGGACTTGAGAAACACACAGAAATAAATGCAGAGGGACAGTGAGTCTGGCAGAGAGAACAAAGGTAGGTAATAATCCGTATCGTCTACGGAAGGAGATGCTGACTTTTTTGGACCTCGTTATTCTGGGAGATCTCAATAATTTCAGCTGCAAGAGAGAACTCTCACCCACCCACATCCTGCAGTATGTCTTCCTCAGCATTCTCATTACCATCTTTATCTTTGCAGATGAATTCACATCACACAAATCCATCCAGTGTGAAAGGGGCAACTTCTGATGTTATTTCTTTTTTCCACCATCTCTTCAAAGGTGGAACATATTTGGCCGGATCTCTTGCTACACAGGTTTTTCATGAAATTTTTAGAAATGCTGTTCATTAGACATCAGTGCATTTCTTGGCTGGTATGAGCTGATGTTCTCAAAATCATTAGAGGAGACAAGCTTTTTTTTTTTTTTTTTTTTTTTTTTTTTCTAAAGGATTAGTCTTAGGTCATTTGTAGGTCATTTCTACGCTCTGTGTTTTTCTAGAGCTTTTCATGGCTGAGCACAGGTATGTCTTTCAGTCACTTATAATTAGTGTGTGAAAATGAAGCGTAGAGAAAACTGATGCAAGGACTCCTATGTTTATGGAGTGCTTAAAGGATAACTGAAATTTAGAAGACATTCTAAACTGGCAGTATATACACAGATACAGAAAAATGAATTTGTCCCGTTCTTTGTCCTCTGTGTTGAAAAATGACTCTGTCATATTCTCTTCAGCTGCAGAAACTGAAAATTTTATGGGAAAAATAATGCAGGTATCTGTTGTCTTTGTTTTGAGATAAAGAGGTCTTTTTAATTGAAACTGCATAGGAAAAACATGGCTTCTAAGTCAGCTTTATACAGTCTTTGAGAGAAAAGGATGGAAGAAAGTTTGGGGGACTTAGTGGGGTTTTTGAGGGATTTGGGGGGATTTTTTTTTTTTTTTGCTAAATGCTTTGTGGACTTTCAAGTAAGGGTTGGTTGTAAGAGGTTTTAGATTGCCCTCTTGGCTTCGAATCTCTGTATGTAGAAGATAAGGAAAAATTGTCACCTGTAATTATGTCTGAAGGAATAAACTTGACAGAAGCTTAATATGGATTGTGAATGGCTGTATCCTAGCTGGAAACATTTTGATGAATGAAAATAGGCACAAAGAGATTTGTGTTTCCTCATTTCCGTCACTGATGTGCTTGCACTTTCTAAGGATTGTGTTTGAATCAGGCATTAAGGTTGCATGAATCTTCCCATGTCAAGATGCTGCTGATGCATGCTTTAATTTTCTTGAGGAAAAGGAGTGCTGTAAGTGTGTGCATGTGTATTTTGATCAAGGAACAAAGATTATTCTGACAGTTAAAAAAATACATACAACTATGATTTAGAAATTACTGCTTGAGAACTACTGTGACTTAAATCACAGTTGAATTCATCCTTCTGTTGTAACAGTTGGTAGGAAATTGAGTAATGCATCAATTTTTTTAAAATTCATCTCCCCAGAATTTCTCTAAAACAACAAATAATCATTTTCTTATGGAAGAAATTTGTAGAGAATTCTGAAGTACTAAAATAGTATGTATAAGTAATGAAGATATATAAATTAAATTCCATGCCTTTCTATGAAAAGCAGTCTGATAGAATTTGAATAATATCCCTACCACCTCCCCAGAAATTCTACCTAAACCTAAATGCCTGTACCTAACTGCAGTTACCCACTTGGCTATGTCTGCACATTTCGAGGTTCTTCAAGAAGTAGGCATTTATTGCCCAAGGTCTGGGTGTAGTGAGCTGAAGTTAAAGGAAACGCTTTATTATGAATAGTTTATCAGACTTGAACATCATCTTTTTTCAGTTTTGTTTCAGAAGTGATGAGAAAACAATTGCCGTAAATCAAAAGGAAGTTTAGTTATGATGGTTATGATGGTTTGCAATTTTAAATTGTATTTTGGGGCTCTGTAATAGCACCTGAAAAAAGTTTCACTGGCTAACAAATCAGAATAGCAGAATGAGAAAATGTAAACTAAGGTTGCACTACTTTTTACCTAAGTAGGTTTTGTCAATGTGTATGATGGGCTAAGCAGAACCCACCATTGCTCTCACACCCTGCGCACACTGTGTTCACTATTAAGACTGTTACATTCTCATTCCACATTGCTTTCTGCATTGCCTGCCTCTTTTCTTCCCTTTTCTCCATGTTTTCTGCATCTCATTGCTTATCTACAGGGCTCACTGTACCACAGACGTCTCAAAGAATTACTTCTCTGCACTTTCAATTGTTTGGCCACTTCTTACTTAACTGTGTGCACATCAGACTGTAGAGCTACATCCAGTCCAGGCATGAGCTTGGGAATACTGTTTCATTTGAGCTGCCTGCTTTAGCTTTAATTCCGATTTTCGTGTTTGTGCACTGTTGTACTTCTGCAGCCCCAGGATTGTGATTTACTGATCACATATACATCTTAACAAACCGTGTTTTGTTAAAAGGGTGAGCTTGTCTGACATTGTCTGCTTCCAAAATTGTCATTTGATCTTTCCTTTGCAGCTGTAAGTTTGAATCCATTATTTGAAGAAGAAATGGCAGAAAATAAATAAAAGGAGATCTATTTGAGTAAGGTCTTAACTAGTGGCTGATTTGGGATAAACTTTGCTTTTTTAAATTAAGGAAGCAAGTTGAGCGATAGATATTATTTTGATAAATGAAGCTGAAAAAAATAACAATTAGATGTTTGTCCAACCTTAGCACAAAATATTTCTAAAGCACTCAGATACTGAATTTCATTTTTTTCCATGAAAAAATGTATATTTGCATGTGTCTAAGGGCTACTACACTTCCAAATATACTTATTTATAAATATATGCTATATATACTCACTTTAACATTTTCATTTAAAAAATTGACAAATGTAGGTGTGTGAATATATTTTAATGTAGTGGACCACAACTTGTCTAAATCAAAACCTCTCAAATAAGTAGCACCCCCTGTTATGTCACAGCAGTGGTTTGTGTATTAATCTGATCAAAGGACAGTGAACGATCAACAAAGTTGTATTGGCCTTTTTAAAATCAAGAATGCTTTGTGACATATCTATTACAAATGGTATTGCAGTTGGTTAAGGCGAATAGAGCTGGGCAGTAGAGAATTCTGCACTTATTTGGCAGGCACGTTGCTCCAACAAGTAAGTGCTCTTCATTCATTATTACTTTTTCTATTCTTCTCATGTCACTATGGTAATTGCAGTGCAGTGGTTGCTATAGCAAAAATGATTAATCCTCCGTTGCTGTTGTCTGTGTGCTAGCAGAGGCTTTTTATACAATATGCTTGTACTCATTTTAAAGGAAATAAAAATGTTGGAATTCTGTTAAGTAACTACAATTAAAAATTGTTTTCATAATTGTATTTGAAATTTTGGAGAAAAAATGATTTGTTTAAGAAGTGTA